TAACTGCAATCAGGCCTGGAATGACGCCCGGTGTCAGTAAGGTTGCCAGAGCAATACACACACATGCACATGCATATATAAAAGAAAACGAATTTACACTCATGGGAATATACAAGGTATCAGAGTTTGCTTATACAAAACGCTAAAGCATGCATCACTCTGTTCCGCACACCTGCAAACAATGAAGATAATGATTTTCGTATTGTTTAAAACGACTGTCGTGCCTAATTTAGCCGGCCTCAGTCGACGTCGTCATCATTCTGTGACTCGATACCGACTTCGTACTGTCTATGTACATCTTGGTAAAACTTGTTGCATATGTTCTCCGTTCACAATACGATATGTGATATAAAGGTACAGATCAACTGATAGATGGCGCCTGTATATTCGTACACGTTCCAGATTCTGTTTACGATTTTCAAATCTTTAGCACGTTGCTATATCTTGCCACAACTGCAATGTACAGCGATCGTATGAAAAAGCGGAGTGGCTGTTGCAGTAGCAACAATACTGTGCCAACAACAACGACTGCAGAAATGGGCGTGTCGGTAGTAGTAGCGGCTGATGCTGCTATTGCCAACGCACATTACCGCCTGGGGCGGCACAGGTCTACACCGTACAAGAACCAAGCACAAGGTGACTTTTTCTGCCGTGGACCTGGTCGAAAGAGGCAACAAGTGAATTGTGCCTGGGCGATCGTTAACTAATGTTCTGTCTCAGATTAGCCTGATATAGTGCACTGACTGACCAGCTTGTTGTTGGTTCGCTGCCGCCCCCGGCAGCCGGCCTGCTAGCCATCCGCCATGTTCATGTTATCCATTGCCAGAGGGCAACGCTCTTTTACGATAAGCCAATGGCTCGTTAGATAAGATACGGAGACCGACTGATTTGAGTCGTCCTTAGCGTAAGATTCTTCCTATACCCCCTTAAGCGTGTTCTATCCAGCCGCACCCTCAGTCGATGAGCCCACCCTCGCGGGCGTTGCCCCTTTTGCAAGCAAACAATGGATTACCTTTAGCAGCTGTGGCGACTGGACAGTTTCCCGTCCCATGGTACTCTAAAGCAGCTCAGAAGAAGCTAGGCGTGGCCAAGCCTATGCGAGAGGGGATCGAGTGAGACAGAAACTGTTCACTGGCTTTCATCGTCGATGGCGGCCAGAGAAGGTAGTTGAGAAAGTGCCTAACGTGAAACACCGCCACGACTGAAACTGCCGGAAGTTGTTGTGGCTGTTGATTGTCATTGCTCGGTTCGCTGTGAGCCGATGACGCCTAAGAGGCCATCGTCATAGCCCTGTCATGTCGCGGCAGCGATTGTAATTGCTTGCAGCGCTCAATGCGCAAAGTCCCATCGAACGCGCTGAAAGTGGAGTTCCTCGACCGCTCCTTGCAGGTTTGTCGGATTTTTTAGCCACCACAAGCTTTGCCGTGCTTCACTCTTTCAAGTTTTGTCTTCCTTTTCCCCTTTTTTTTTCCAATTTTTCGCTTGCGCCGTTTTCCGTGGGCAGACTCGTTTTATCCCTTTCTCTCTTGCTTTGTACTCTTACTATGAAAGCAGTCAGATCCTCGCCTTCGCGCCCAGTCATCTTCCTTTCTCTTCCGTAGGCAAAAGTGGTGCCGCCAGTAAGACGACCGATACTGCAGAAACGGCCTGCCGTAGCCCCTCTAGCAAAAACTAGGCACAATTTTTTCCCTTTTCCCCATTGGCCGCGGTCTGGGCCACATGCGACAACCGCCACTGACCAGATGGCGCCAACGATAAAGAATTGATAATACTCGTAATGATAATGGCCATTTGTGCGCAGCGCTTGCCGTTGCGCAGACTTCTTGTGCTGTCAAGAGAGCTCGGTGGTGGCGGAAGCGACTGCTTCTTCGTAGTTCGATGGAGGTTTCTCTTTTTTATTTTGAAGCCAGAAGGGACGGTGAACAAAGGACAAGAGAAAAATGGGCTTTTTTAGCCAGTTGAACGGGCACGATGACGAAATTATATCGTATTAACGGTGCTCATCGATGTCGTGGTTGTGGCTCTCAGGCGCAGGGTCAAGTGATGATTTCCTGCACTCTTCAATTTGCTTCGACGATATTTGAGGCTAGCTCTGTTTATCAATATGCGGGATGTGCATGGGATTAGTTGGCAGGCCTCGATATACCCGCTAATCACTGACAACCAGGAATCCACTGAGGGCTTCGTTAGAAAATATTGTTCCCCGAAGCATACTCTCATGAAGCTTAGTTCCTTTTTGCTTTGAAGCGAAAAGCTTGGTGGGTTAGATTGACTTACCGATTTGTCGAGCTGGCGAGGGTAACGCAAGGCAAAAAGCAGGACTGATTTTCGGGGTGCTTTCAACAAGTCGGGATAATATATCTCAATCCCTTTTGTAATGATCATTCTTACCCCCCCCCCCCCCGCCGACATCCCTGTCCAACCCATTTGCGGCACAGCCGCTAGGGGTGATCAGTAATCGATTATGGGGCAAAGAATAAACAACAGCACATAAAGAATGTTCGGCACACTGTATTTTAGTTAACTCTGTTGAATACTTTTAGTGGCAGAAATTTTTCGAGTATAAGAGCTGATTTAAAATAGCTGACGCAGATGATATGTCATGGCCTTAACAAATACTGCTTTTTAATGTATGGTGTAACCGCACAACTCGTGAGACAGCCCATTAACAATTATTTATAAACAAAAAAACACGATTCAACGGTACGAAATGAGCAGGCATTTTAATTAAAAAACAAAATTAATATAATCAAACGAGTTAAATGAACATGTTACATAAGACCAACATAATTAGAAGTAACATTCTAAAATTGCGCGAAGACCATATATATATATAAGCACGGTTAGCATGATCATAATTTTTGCTTACACCAATATATAATTTTAATTGCCAAAAGATTTACCGAAAAAAATATATAACTTTTTTGCCTGAAAATGATGATGATGATAGCATTGGGTTATTGATTCATAAACACAATTCAGCATTTAGCTTGGTTCCGTGGCGTACTCTCGGCCTTTAAAAATTGTCTAATCTTATCGGTCGGGTGATGGGAGCTTTTGCGTCAGACCTAACTACCCTATAGGACCCCTTCATTCCGTCCACCTATATTAGAAGATTTCCGTCAAGATATGCTTTTATATTATGACGATAGCGTGCAGGTACTTCATCCTGTAGGAAATAAAATTTGTCATCTTCACTGAATTCGTCTCGAGCGCGTAGTGGGGCAGATTTTTCCAGTGGGTTCAAGTAATAGGCACCAATCACTGTCTTGTTAAAGACGAATGATACAATCAATTTTTTGCTTGAAACTTTTGCGTAACCCGCCTAGAGCGCGGATTTACCGTTGCCCGCTAGGTAGAATTAAACGCGCCACTCAATTGAATTTTAGCCTTATCACTCCAAATAATCGAGCATCCTATCGTACGCGAGACTGTTCTTTTTTTTTGATCCGGATCATCCTCGTTCGGCGGACATTTACATAATACCATAAAACTTTGTAAAATAGATTTTCTTAAGAATTCGTCTTGCTCCTCTCCGCTTATTTGAAATTGATTATGCTCCGGACATTAGAACTTTCGACGGTGCATAGATTTCTTTGAATACCGGGCATATACACAAAGTTGTGCATTGAAATTTGTGACAATTTCTCTGGGCTGTCTGTCGCAGTCGGCATACATTAATTTGCTATACTGGGTACCGAAATATCAATAATCAATTAGGTTGTCCTGCTAAGCTCATCTGTGCCTTTAGTACTTATTGGCCGTTTTAGACCGTTGTATTTTTATGACGTTTAGCCTGTTATCAGCTTTGAAGTAAATTTCGTTGTAATAAGTTTGTGAGTATTTGAGCTACTTTTCAATGAGTTTACGGCTACAGATACTAGACATGAAATTACGATTAAAAAATCGTTTGCGGAATCTACGAAACAGGACTTTTTTTGAGAAGGACTCCTGAGCAGCTCAGAAAATGTATTAAAACTCAATAATGGTTAAACATCACCGCCAAAAATAACATCTCTAGCACATGCAAGACTTGGCTGGCCGGCTGGCTGACTATACCGCAGTGAACTCACGGGCCCTGTCAAATCCTTATAGGCCTCTATGCTTAGTGTCGGGTAGAGTGAGTTTAGAGCTAATTTCCGCACGTTTAAAACTTGTTACCAAGTCATCTATGTGCAGTGTTAGCGTTGTACGCCAGCTTCATGACGCAGGCATAGAATAGTAGTTGTTGCCTATAAAGAACGCGTCCGCTTTTATTTATATAGAGTAAAACTGTAGAGGTACGCGCTTCTTTCGTCCGCAGCTAATCAATATATTCGATGATCTACTTGTTAAGAAAACGTGAAACTAAGACACCGACTAAACAATAGCAAGTAGCTTTGTGGCAGCTTTAAGATTGACACCCACGCATCAAACGTAAACATCTACAAGTTACAGTCGAAGCAACTTTGAATAACTTAAGCAAAAACATACTTCAGTTAGCGAAAACTGTTATTTCACGACATCATTGTCAGTCTTTTGTATGATGGCAATGAAATGGTTATCTGTTTTATTACACTCGGAAATAATGCGTTTTATCGGGAAACGTTTCGACTTCCTTTTCCCGGAAGCACAACGACCGTAATCAGATAAATAAAGCCGGTGACCAGTTATCGACAGGCAACAGGTGAACCTAGTGAAAATTTTCAAATGGCGAACCCTTTCGCTCTCCCCTTTCTCTTTCTCTTTCTCTCTCTGTCTATCGATGCTAAATTTCTCATAATCACGAACAGAAGTAATAGCAGCAGTTGGGGAAGTACTACGGGTAGCACGATTTCTTTGTTGAACGAGGCTAAGTATCTGTAAAAGCGCTACGAACGAATGCAGCACGTTCCATTGTTATATTCGTTCGTTGTTATTGCTATTACCTCCATCTTTCTATGTATATATGTAATTAAGTTAAATGAAATTGTATAAGAATAATAAGACGCTAAACCGACGACGACGACTCGTTGGAAAGATCAACAAAGAACGACAGGCGGAACAGTGGGTAATGCACTTGATAATAACCGAGCAGCGCTTACGGCACCCGCGTGTTTGCTTTGCATTTTCCTATCCCTGTCCTGATGCCACAGCCGACGATCGTTATGGTGACGAGAAAGACGGTACCAGTGATGGCGATGATGTTGCTCTAACTGGTTTTTATTTGATTAAGCATCAACGTGTTGTAGAAAAAGACAAAAGAAGTTTACGTGTCCCAAAAAAAAAAAAAGGTACCAAATTGAGTTAAATTGTTGTTGGTGGAAGGTGAATAGTTCATTTGATATACTTAATGGTCCAGCATATATGTGCATGTCTATATACCTTTAGTGAATTTAAGCGCATATTATTACAAGTCGTTATTTATAATTGTCTCTAATTCGATTAGCTGTAGGATCCGTAACGGGTATCTCAAACTGCGATGATTTCAATGACCCAGTAGGTCTATCCCATCGTCGGATCGCTGAGGGCCATCCAAATGCTGCCAAACCAGAGGAAATTTTTACACGCGGTAGACTTTACATTGGACCGATAGGTTTCAGTTGATTGGTCGTTGTTTGCTTAAAACGTAGCTCGATGTCTTGTGAATGACGTTTTCTGCAAGCGTCGCACTGCAACCTGCCTGGTGCTAGGAGCCCCTCACGACACCAGGCTGTAGGTTTTAGGTGGACAACGTAAATACGCCTCTCAGTTGAACGAATCTGGAAATTCATGAAGTCTTGCAATGCAATTGAGTCCCATCAACTATACGAATGAACAAACTTTACTAGCTGCTAGTCCTAAGTTTGCGCTAACTTGAAGAATTATTTCGAAATACAGGATTCGTTCCATAGAAACAGCTCTAATGAACTAGGTTTTACAATGTGCAATTCATACAGTTTACGCAGAAAATAATTTCACAAATCAGTCCTGTCGAAAGGTTCGTTTACAGTTTGGCCGTCTTGGTAAGAACTGATCGATTGCCTCGGGTAATTGTGGGCCTGCCAATTTCTATTCGACGGGCCGTTTATACTGTTGCAATGCGTTCTTGGTTTTGCCACTATAATCATTTTTTGTCATAGTAGGTATGATTTTTCTTGCTCGGCTAGCATACCCGTATAGGACGAATGCAGCCATCTGGCTGTGGGCTAGGACACGACATCTTGTTAGGTTGACACAAATATGCTCGATGTGCCCTAGAAAAAAGAAGGCTTCTTAATACATTTCCGTGATCGCGAGTATGCGTCTTTGTAGGCGAGAGCTGACGAAAACGTTTACAATGAAATCGCTATGTACGCGGCAGCGCAAAAGGAAGCCTGAGTTTCAAAGTCAGTGATCAATACTGTCCCCGTGTAGACGAATGATCGAGTGTATAACGTGTTTAGTTCACACGGTGCAAGTCACTTCTATTCAAATTCATAATAAACATTTTCGGAGCAACAGGTTGGTAACTAGGGCCTATGATTTCATTAATCCGTATGATGAACTAGTCGATATATATATCCGGCACCACATTTGCGTCTGCTAGTGCCTTGGTGAGTCAGAGGTGAGGAGCAAAGAAAGGATCTGTCAAGGTGCAGCTGTGAGTATATCGATTTCGTAATTAGCCGTCGTAGCAACAGAACAGCTGCCAGGTCACTGTCAGATACCAAAAACTTTCCATGCTGCTTTTTTGTATTCCATCGGTTTGGACGCCATAAGGCGCTAGGAACTATGCACGATAGACGTAAATCATAATTTGAATTGCGCAATAAATTGTACGCAGTCAACAGACCCTACTCAAAAGCAATAAAGAACATCGACCTCTATAGCATTTTAATTACATCATAGTACATCCGAGATATACGTAATAATATTATAATCGTTCATTTATAATGCATCTTTATGTTGAAACATCTGTTGGCGGATATCCAAACCTTGATGACGGAAATTGTAAACATCTCAGCAAGTCTTCCTTACTGAAAGGAAGACCGAATAGCTGTATTATCGCCGTGAGGAATCGGTGTTGTGAGCATGTGGTAAAGTCCCTTTCAGGTGGCACTAAGCACCTAGGATTTGTAAACAGAATTAGGTCAGCTATGATAGTGGTATGAATTGAAAGGAAGATATTCTTCGTTGCGTAAGATAAATACCCAAGGGTGGCTAATTTTAACAACGTAAACATGTTTCAAACTTGATAGACGATCAGAAGCCGAGCATTTGCTGCAGCCCGGTAATAGTCTACGTCAACGGATAGCGTCTCCGTATGTCGTAACAAAAATAAAAACAAACTTCATATGAAGTTCGACAATTATTTTCATTGTTATACTTCAACGTTTGTTAGGTACGTCTGAATACGAAAGTTTCTGAATACGTCTTGTTCACCGGTCCGAAAATCAAGGTCGTTACGCTGTTGGTTAGTTTACGAATTCTGTTATACCCTATCTAAGATCAACCAATGTTTTTCCTTCAAAATCCGCTTGCTGGGCCTAGATAGGCATTACTTGTTGTAACTAGGGCCTGCTGATACAAAGTATGTCCACATACGGAATTAAACGTAAAGAAGCATGTGTCTTAAGGTTTAATGATAGGCAACCACATTAGTTAGTGTGTTGTCACGGTAACGTATATCCATCAACAAGCAAGTTAAGTAACTTGATTGGAATGAGATTACGCAAATGTAGCACTCAGTTGACGAACGAATCGATTAAAGAGAAGGGATATGTTTAAGTTTCGAATCATCTAGATCATCTGAATGAGTCGCTTACATAGGACGCTGGCGATCGTACGCAGTTCTGCGGGTTACATATGTGCATGGCACGCTGAAAGCCCATGCGGACATAATGACTACGCAATTTCACTTAGATTTAAAGGGTAAGTGTAACTTTGTGTTTGCATATTTAACTTGACGATACAAAAAAGCTTGTATTGAAAGGGCTCAAACAAGCCGTCTACGTGGAGGATAGTTGACGAGGGTTCGAATGATATGCTCGTTAGCTAATAAATAATAAGCTAATAAGACTTGAAAGACGCTAGAAGCACTGAAGATTATCACGGATTTTGTTTACAACATGTGTAATTTGAATGCCGAACAAGCCGAAGTTTTATTATGCCCGGGGCATTTGTTAAGTCGTTCGAACAGCTGAAAGTAGGAGTTACTAACAGCGACGATAACAAATGTAACCAATCTCAATAAAGTGGCACGTGCATTTTTCAAAATTTCTCTGACGCGGAATCATCACAGAGTGAGTAGATATGATCTGAACTTTTAAATCTAAGTAGATTACGAATATTTACGAGGTATCTATCGAACTACACGCTAGAAAAGTAATCTGTACTACTGGCTGATACAGGTCGACGGAACATCGTTCCATAGGAAATAAGAATAAACCGTGGTAAACCTCAATGTTGACGTATGTCCTAGGTCCTGTCGACGATAATCACTCTGTACACAAGGAGGGTTGCACCTTTTTTCTGTGTGTACAATACCGCAAAAACGCTACATGTTATCTGTATATATAT